TACTAGGTGTTGTACTGGGTGGTTTGGAAGGAAACACAAAGATGATCAAGACACAAAATCTGTACCTGCCGCATCCACAGTGTGACAGGGACACAGACGCTTGAAACAAAGCGTGTTGATTACTTACCTAGTGCTGCTGCAACAGAAACACCACAGGTGGGTGGCTTCAAAGAACAGATATTTACCTTCTCACAGTTTTAAAGACTGAAAGTTCAAATCAGGGTCTCAGCTTTGTCAGTTTCTTCCTTGTCAACACCCCAGGCCTTCCTTGGTTTTCTGGCATCCTCACATGTCCTTCCTCTTTTTCATGTACACTCTATACATATGTCTGTATCTTACTGTTCATTGTACATTTCAGAGGTGATTAGATTTAGAAGCCAACTCACTCAGCTACAATTCAATTAACATAACAAAGAAAAGTCTATTTCCAAATAGGATTACATCCATAGGTATAGGTGTCAGGCTTCCAATAAATATTTTGGGGAACACAACTTAATCCATGCCACAAAGATAACGTGGGATCCAGAAAGAGCCGTCTACGAGCCTGGTTTGGGGTCGTAGGGGGAGTACCAAGCATACATCCCTTCTCATGGTTTCAGGAAGGATGAGCCTTAAGCCAGGTCTTCAAGGAGGAGTAGGGAACTGGCCTGTTCTGAAGGGGTTCTGGGTAAAATGATTAACCCATCCCAAGGAATGGTGAAGCACTTCTGAACTCCTTAGTCAGCTTCAGCAAACTCAATTAAGTCGAATTTTAAAACCTAAAAGAAACAAATCACTACTTGGGGTCTCTTAACTGTTGCCCTAACTCTTCTGAACAGTTAAGATCAACAAATTAGGGGAAAAAAGAAAAACACAGACAGATAAAAGCTACCATAAACTTCACGCCCTAAAGCCCATGACTATGGCTTTTGGGAACCATCAACCCCTCATTTAGAACCAATTATCTTTTGTTTTCCGCATCAAGGCTGTTGTACCTAGATCCACTATTCTGAAGGCTTTGGTAGGTTAGCAGTAGAACATCAGAAGGGTGGGCAGGTGCAGAGATGGCAGTAAGACGAGGTAACCAACTGAGGTAGAAAGGCTTGAAAGGCTGATTCAAGAAACTCAAAAGGCAGCAGCTTCTTTCAGGACATACTGCAGCGCATAATAGAGTACAATAGCTTGCTCAACTCCATAGGCATCTAGTAAGCGCCAACTGTGTACTAGGCCTTCTCTCCAGGCTGGGCAGAAGATATAAAAACATGCAAATCTATGACCTCCCCAGTCCAGTTTGGCAGGTACAACAAAACCAGCTGCTGTTGAGTGAATCCCAACTTACGGCAACTCAACGTGTATCAGAATAGAACTGAGCCCCAGAAGGTTTTCAATGGCTGCTTTTGGGGGGAGTAGATCACCAAGCCTTTCTTCTATGCCTCTGGGTAGACTTGAACCTACAAACTTTTAATTAGCAGCTGAGAGAATTAACAGTTTATACCAACCAGGGAGTCCAGCGGGAACAAAGGGTATACAAATTGAGGCAAGAAGGATGTTAGGCTGTGAAAGGTCTCTGCTTACTATGCAGGTAATGAAGGTGCAGATAAGATGGCCTGAGGGCAGGGAACTCATCTGCCCTCACTAAAGAATCATCCAGTGATTGCAACAAATGACCCTGGAGCCAGACTGCCTGCATCCAAATAAGCAAGACACTTAGGTTCCCTGAGCCTCAGTTTCATCATCTGTACATCCGAGATAACAGGAGTACCTTTCCAAGGGCACAACGAAGATCAAATGGGTCAATATGCATAATAGCATTAGGTGAGTGTTAGCTGCCATTATGTTTTTATCTCAGGGCCTGCTCAGTCTCTGGCACTTAGTAACTGCTCAGTAAGTACTGATGAACAAATGAATTCACAAATGAATGAGTGACCTCCTGAACTAAAGGAGAAAAATTTCAATTATGTAATGCACACTTTCTTTAATAAGGCTTTCAGATCAGAAACACCGCCATCCAAAAGTAATTCCAGAAATAGTTTTGATGTTTAATATATGTTTCAGATACCTAAGAAATCAATCACACATTCTTTAACATTTCTGGATAAATGGCCTGCCCCTGCAAACAAGCCCAGGGAAGAAAGATGGAGATGACAATGAATTATAGCAAAGTTCTGGTCAAGAGATGACTGAAGGAGGCCTGCAACCCAGGGGTCAAGCTCTGCGGTGAGGAAGTCACTGCATTGGCACTCACCTTGCCCAAAACCAACTCCGTGGTATTCGCCTTCCTTAAATTCTACTTCACAAAGGATAAACACAAAAATTGTCCTTAAAATATTAAGGATCAAAAAAAACAAAAACAAAAAAATATATATATTAAGGATCATAAAAGTAAAACCAATTTGAAAAGTATTGAGGCTACCAACAGACAAAAAGAGCCCTGGCGGTACAATTGTTAAGCACTCCGATGCTAACTGAAACGTTGGCGGTTCAAACCCACAAGTAGCTCCTTGGAAGAAAAGACCTGGCCATCTGTTCCCATAAAGATTGTTGTTGTTGTTGTTATGTGCCGTCGAGTCGACCCCGACTCATAGCGACCCCTCCTTGGGTTTCCGAGGCAGTATCACTACGGAAGTAGGATTGCCCAACCTTCCTTCCGAGGAGTGGCTGGTGGGTTTGAACCGCCAGCCGTCTGGTTAGCAGTCAAGTGCCTTAGCCACTATGCTACCAGAGCTCCCCCCATAAAGATTACAGCCTAGGAAATCTTCCCGGGCAGTTCTACTCTGCCCTGTAGGGTTGCGGTGAGTTGGAATACACACCACACAACACCACCACAGACAGAGCTGCAAGAAGATCTCTGCTGTTTGTTAGGTGCCGGCCAGTCAATTATCAACCCAGAAGTGTGCTAGGCTGTAATCTCTACTGGAAGCAAACTGCCAAGTCTTTCTCCAGCAGAGTGGCTGGGCTGGTTCAAACTGCCAAACTCTAGGTTAGCAGTTGAGAGCTCAGCAGCTGGGCCACCAGGGCTCCTCCCTGGCCGGCGTTAATATGCCCAGGCCCTTATTTTACAAGATGACTAAACTGCAGCCCAGAGAGGGAGAGTGACTTGCCCAAAGTCACAACTTCAAGAGAACAGCAAACAGAGCAGAACCAGGGTCCAGACTGAAACCCCAGTGAAAATGCTGTTCTTCCCTACAGAAGCACTGAGGGAGAAATAGGAGGTGGTTCCTCGCCCCAGCAGGGCAGCCTGGGGGTGGGAGGAGAGAAGGAGTGAAGGACTATAGCTGTGAGGGAGAAAAAGGAGCTTGGGAGCGTGGTGGGAAGGAAATGAAAGCCCTCTGGGCTTTTTGGTAGAGGCAGGGTTCCAAACAAAGAGCAATCCAGCCCAAAGCTCCTGGGTTCTGCAGGTAAAGCCTTCTGAAGCTACATATATAAAGACGAAGGCCTTCTCCCCACGTTTTATGTCCACCACCGTGTCAATGTGTGTGTGTGTGTGTGTCTGTTTGTCCTCGCTGATACCCTCTCTATGTGGGCTGTGCCCATGGATCCAGGCAGACAGGGGAGGACTCTGGCAGAGACACCCCAAGAGTCTCGGGGATTAACGCTCATATTCGGATCCAGCATCCGACACCCTTGCTTTGCTCCTAACTTCCCCTCCCCCACCAATGATCAAACCCAGGTGAAGGGACCCGGAGCTGGAGGGTCGGTTTCCAAAGGCTTCTGCTGGAGCCGCGCGCTCGGCACGCCTGCTCGTTCCTGCCACACTCAGACACACTTGCACGTACACTCAGACGCGCAGACCCTTACACACACGCACTCACATGAACACACTTGGCACTGCTGGAGGCCCAGCCTCGCCCGCCGCATCTCTCTATTGGCCACCGAGAAGCAGACAGGCAGCAACAGGAATGAAATCTGCCCAGAAAGACTGCATTTCAGCTCCAACCATGCAACCTCGGGCCAAACCGCCGAATATGTAACAAAGTTTTATTTCGCTTTTAGAGTCTCCAGTTACGCTTCTACCATTTCCTGTGGAAAATTGAGGCTTTGAAGTGTCTAGCTCCGGCCTTTCGCAGACAGGCAGGACCACAAGAGCGAGCTCTCGAAAACAAGCGCCCTCCGCCCCACCCCCTCCGCCACCAGAACCGCGGGTTCAAACCCACCCGGCTCGGGCCTCGCAAATAGGGTGGTGCGGAGAGAGGATGGCAGAACCTGCTGGAAACCACGCCCTAAGCTGAAAACCCTCTCCAAAACTCCCGCCTCACACCCACCTTCCTGGGGTCCCTAGTGGCCCTCTTCTAGACAAGTGGTGACAGCTGCACCTCCCTGCCAAAGGGAAGGAGAGCGCTAAGAGCCAGGAGCTTGGAACTGAGGACTCGGTCCATTGCGCAGCACCCACCAGCTGTGCGCTCCGGCCTTCAAAACTTGGGATCGATAGGAGGAGTCTTCCCGCTCCACTTTCTCACCACACACACACACATACACACACACACTCCCTGACTGTTGCTAGGCCAAAGGAGCTCTTCACCGTTCTCCCTTTACCACCGCGGGGCCTCCCCATCCTCGGGGCAATACCAGTGTCCCCAAGGGCGAGGAAGTAAGAAAACTGGAAGGCGGAGGAAGAAACGCGCCTTCTCCAAAGCCAAACTCGAGTTCTGGGGAATTTGGCATCTTCAAGGTCAAAACAGAGCTCTAGCAGAAAATATGTAGTAGGCGCAAAGGATTGCAAACCTGCCCCCAAATGGTGGTTACGCCTACCGCCTGCCCGAGGCCTCCGCCGCCCAGCCCCGCAGCCCGGGTGTGGAACCCGCACGCGGAAACCTGGACCCTAGGAGCCGTCTAAAGTACGGCGATCCTCTGCCCAAGAGGGAGCCGCTGGGTTTCGCGCTGCTTCCATCCCAACGGTCCCCTCGGAGGCTTAGGACAGCAAGGGGGTGACCAGAGCTTCGTGGGAGGTAGGCGCGAAGCAAACTTGTGCCGACAGTTGGCTAGGTCAGGTGGGAGGGGGCGGCGCCCGAGCAGTCTCTTACCGCTGGCGTTCTTCCCGCAGATGAGGTGCTGGTAGGGCTGTAGGAGCCCCCAGATCTCTGAGTCGTTGTTGACCGTGTGCTCCAGTGTCTCCACTGTGAACTTGGGCGCCTCATGGAGCGCGTGGAGGTGGTGATGGTGGTGGTTGGCTGCGGCGGCGGCCGGCGGGGCTGCGGCG